TCAAAAAACGTGTATAAACATATAAAATCGGACAAATCAGATAGTTTCCTCAAGTGGTTGGCGGCTGTGCTAACTTTCAGACTCATCCGACTGGCATGGAAGAGTGTCAATCCCGACGGCAGTTTGTGTCCTCACGTGCATTTTACGTGAGTGGACCGGTGGTGTGACGTGGGAGCGAGTCTTCAGGGCAGCGTGCGAACGAGTAGGTTAGGCTGGCCCCTAACAATCCCCTTTGAGGTGAGTTGTTCGATTTGATACGCTGGTCCATCTCCAGTGGAACCGTTTCGTTCATTTTCGGCTTGATCGTCTAGAGTCTTGAGGAGGTCGGCTTGACACAAGAATTGCGGGTTCTTTCCTTGGTTTTAGCAAATAGAAAGTGTCCAGTAGTAGTCTAAGTGATCAATTTTGGCTTGGATTTGCAGTGACTTATGAGACCCAAGAAAGCGCGCAAGGTGTTTATGTCCCTTTGCGAGGATATCTATTTAGTGGCGTCGATGTTGTAGGATTCTGAGCGATGACCATTTTGGTCGATTATAAATCTGAGGTATTTCACAGAAGGCATGAAAGCATTGCACTTCTCAAGACGCAGGGGGAAGCCATATTTCTGAATCCGGCTGAGTGCTGTCTTTGGACGTTGTAACAATTCTTCTGGATTTGAGCCTGTAATGATGATACCATACAAATAGGCGTCGACTCCTTCGGTGCCTATAAGCATGGTGCCCATGTTTTGCTGGAATATGGCGGGAGCAGCCTCAATCCCAAATAGCAAGCGGGTGAATTGGAACAAACCATGATGGGTGTTAATGGTTAGAAACTCCCTGAATTATTCTTCCACGTCGATTGATATTTATGCATCAGAAAGATCAAACTTAGCTGAAGAAGCTCCATAATTCAGCTTAACAAAAAGATCTAACGGCACGCGCAAGAGATACTGATGCATTTTCAGAACATAATTTAGACCAGTAGAGCAAATAGCACATACTCGAACTTTGCCGGTGGCTTTCTTGACGGCCACAATTGGTGCGGCCCATTGGTCGAGGAAAACAATATCATTGAACACTATCAAGTTCTTGGTCGACAAAAGTACGGGCAGCATAAGTAGTGGCCTTTTCGGTCGGAAGACAGGTTTTGCTTTCTTTTGAAATCGGAAAATGACCTTCATATTATTCTAGCAGCTAAGACCTTCTCGAAAAACAGGCGAATTTATTCTGTAGATTCGACATCAACTTTA